CACATTGCAGACCGGTGGGCGCGCAAAATTATGACAAAGCTCAACCCGTGAACAGACTCGAGACAGAAAGAGGAGAAAGTAAGGAATCGAAAGAAATGAAGGAAAGCAAACTTTGCGGCCTATCAAGGGCTAGATACAATTATGCAAGCAAACTAACTAGACAACCAAAAAATTCCGACTAGGCTTAAAAACAGACAATCGTATTCCTACTGATGCCACACCTCCTGATATGGAGCTGCAGTCATTGGTCCATCAGTTAGAGTGAAAGTTGAAGCGGAAGAATGCCACATAGGGAGGAAGTAAAGTAAACTCGCTAGTCTGGTAGTGTACTTCAACAAAGACACCACAGCTCTTGAATAAAGGTGAAAAAATTTGCATGCAAGGCGTGAATCAAGACAGTTTTAATTCTACTGCTGGAACTACAACTTATCCTGAAAAAGTCAACAAAGAGACTGGTTCAAGATAATAAAGCGCAGTAAAGCGTTGGAGAGGAAGGGCAAGTGATAAATCCATCCAACTGTCGATTTCAAGCAAAAGGTATAGCTCATCAACTTTGAAAAAAATCGGGCAAGCTATATAAGTAATAGGGTCACCAAATTTGTAAACGGAGACCACGGGTTAAAGATGAAGAGGTTAACAAATGTATAATCAGTAATTGCAAGTTATGCAGGCAGGTGCAGATCCAAGGTCACCTGCTGGGGGAGAAAAAGTGTGGAATCCGAAAAATCATTTCTAAGTGCTGCCAGGGGTTAATGAACCAGACAATAAAAAAGCAACAATCGTAGCAAGAAAAAAGCCAGAATGAATAAGATCAATAATATCGTTCCTAAACGTACCTGGAGAGACATCACAACGTAATTATACTTCTCGGTACGACCGCAGCCGAGAAATTTGCAGAAATGGTCTTTATCCTGCAGTTTGCGAAGTACGGCTACCTCCATCTTCAGAACCTGCTTCGATTGCCGAGTTGACTCTAATTTCAACGCAACCTTCTCTCGAGAATTTTCCTCTTGAGCCTCATAAATTTCGCCAAAGCCTCCACCTCCAATTTTTTTGAGAACACGCCATCTATTCTTGATAATGTGTCCAGATGATACCAAATCAGTTTCCGATCCAGCTGATGTCATTCCCAACACTAATGTATCAAATTATTTGATCAACTGGACATAACAGAGGAAGATTGCATGTAATTTTAACCAAGATTTACGAAAATCAACTTCGACAATTCAAACCACCGATTCTCAAGGTCCTGAACAGAATTTATTCAGTGCGCTTAAGTCATTCCTACCAATGGTGAATGGATAAACAAAAGAAAACCTGTAGTCTAGTGTCATATATTAAATAATTTACCATAAAAGAGAGAGCGGAGAAAACCTCTATGCGCTATGAGTAAAATGACTACAGATGGGCAAGCGAGTGAGCCCGTATGACTTTTGTGTAGTGATTATGGTCCTAATTGTCGTATTCACCGCGTATGAAGCTCTCCCATATTTTATTGGCGCTTTTTGCTTTTTGATTTAGTAAGGCAGCGTGACTTTCTAATTGTAGTTTAAACGGCAAATGCTACCCGTCTTTCGTGCGCATTTTCGCTTAATTTATGCTCTTATATAATATATTGTGACGCTATCACGCAGTATTTCCAAACCATCTTTTCTTTCCTTTTCTGCATTGTAGATCTCAAGGTGCTTTTGGTACATTTACAGTTAATTCCGTTATTGAATGCCAAGTCCAAATATCTTACACATCAGCAGTGCCTATGTCCCTTTAAAAATTAATTTATGGTTTAGGATTAGCATACATTTATTATCTGTAACCTCGTAGTCCTAGCCTTGTGAAAGACGAATTGCGTCAATACAGTGCAGTAGGATAAGTATTTTAATGCTTCAATTAATTAAGCCTGGCTCGGTTTGAAAACGTCGCGAAGGTCGTTGCCTCGTGTTAATTTTCCATTGTGAGCATCGTTAGTTAGCGCATTTCGCCTGTAGAAATTTTTTTGGCTCCGAACCAACTTGTTGTTTTTTACCTTTACTATGGATTATGTATTTTATTATGCATTTCTTATCGCCTATTCGTTTTGTGAGCTCACTGCTTCTCCATTTTACCTTATCCATTTGGTGTCGCTGCAGTTCTTTATTTTCTTGCAAATGACCACAACATACATTTATTAATTAAACAGCTGGATATTTTGTACTATATTATTTTCAATTTCAAAGTTATGGTATATCAAACTTGTGATTTTTTATAGGATTGCTTTTGTCGACTCCTCTCGTCGGTAGCACTTAATCTCTATCACTTTTAGATTATGCCATTGACATACTCAAAGAAATCTGTATAAGATAGGCCATTTACGTTAGGCGTTACGAAATCGATTACTTTACTTCATCCTGGTTACCCACCCACAAGTAGTTTAGCCTTTGCCAGATTTGTTGACATTTTGTTGTCATTTTTGGGAGAGGGACTTCATTGTTTACCTTTTGCGGTGACTGCCTGATTCGGTCGATTCGTTTATCTTTCAGTCGTATTAAATGCTGAAATCTCCCCAAATTTGAGTCCAATCTTTTTTGCACTGATGCAGCGTTTAGCATGTACGCACTTCGATTATAAAAAGACGTTATTGAAAGCCCTCCTCCTGTTTTGCTTGCTTAGATGCCTCGCTTTTTAACAGGCGGTCTGGC